TGGTTTATCTAAGGTAAAAATTAATCATTAGTATAATGATCAGTTGGGAGCCTGTCTCAGTTCTGGACTGAGACAACTGAGTTCTGGACTGAGTGACTGGGTTCTGAACTGAGACAGGTCCTGAACTCAGACACAACACAAGCAACGCTCAAAAAACAACACAACGAGCTCACTTGACTACAAATAATGCCTATGTAATTGATATGGAATCAAGATTTGTAAGCTGCTTTTGAATACTGATGATGCAACACAAGAAAAGAGATAATTTTATATTTGATTATTTCTCATTAATACTGCTAGAATAAATTTGTTGAATTCCATTTGTAAGCTTCATGCATTGAGTGGGATTTCACACTGCTGTGCTTTTGATTTTGTCATTCTTTAATATTAATATTAAAATTTAAGATGGTCAAATAAAAGTGAGTTTTCGTGTTTAGAACTCGTTGGAATTTCACTTGGACCATCAACTTGAATGCCAAAGCGTTTCTATAACAGGTAAACGCAGGTTTTAATTAAATGTGTTATCCCGGCTTAACTATTGACGAAACTGCAATAAAATAATTTAGAAGTTTCGTATCAACGCAATCGTTAAATTAATGCATGTACTTATGCTATATAAATTCTTCTTCACCAACGATAACAATAACGTGGTAATAGTTTGACCCGAATATGCTTTTTTTGGATTCTGTTGTATAATGGCTGCTCAAAATGTTTCCAAGAAAGAAGTTTGCTGAATTACGTGAGACGTTTCAAGCTCTCTCTAAATTCAAAGCAATAAATAACTGCCAGCTTACATCTTAAAAAGAAACGCGTACTAATAGAAAACTCTTTACTACTGAGATCGTAATACGCCCGCTCATCATAGCATGTCATATTAATATTTCATTTAGAAAACCGAAAACTACTAAAATGGACTAAACGTTAGTTTTTATTTCATGTAAAAATTTTATGGAATTAAATCACGGCCGCAATACTTTTGCGGGAAATCATATTAGAATAAATAAAATAAATTGTACATTATTATTGTGAGAAATAAGGCTCATATTATTATTGTTATGAATCAGGCCACGACCAACGTTCAGAGGCCTTTGTAAAAAGTGAGCGGTTTGTTGACGATTATCATAAAATTTGGCCGATAAGTATTCTGAATCGGATAAAAGTTAGCCAAGCATCGATTGTTGGGCACGCTGGCGCAAAGGTCACGGGATCATACTTGCTCGGCTTTTGTGCCTCGAACCACCTGGACTCATTCAGTCTGTGATGGTTGGATAACCCATCGCATTCGCCATGAAAGACTCCCTCGCACGATCAGTGAGCAAAACGCCACATCTATAGTGGTGGGTCGTTGCACTTTGCTCCAAACAAGACAAGATTACCCGATTTCGATGTAGTAAATCCAGCTCTCGGAAGTGGTGGTAGATCTTGTCTAGAAAAAGGAAATTGACGATTAATCCATCTTTGTCTCATTCGTCTTCTTAAACCGAGTATGTTTGTATTAACGCCAATTTTCTCAGATCGGATCTGACGTATATTTTGTACTTGGAAATCGCGAATGTTGATCGCAAAGCAAGATATGCAATTTTAAGATATGTAACATTTGGTTACGGCCGCATTACAGTTTTGTATACTATATGGGTTTGGGTTCCTCCGTCTTTTCATGATTGCGCATGTTAATCCAGGGGAAAAGTAAGGAATCAATGTAATAAACGGGCGTACCGGGTTTGCATCGCACCAAGAATAACAAACCTGGGGATTTCCGATAGGTACGCGAAAAGTCGCACCTTCAGAAAAGTCACACGATCCCTTTGTTGGCAAGAAAGTTTGCGTAATTAATGACGTCAGAAGTGACCAATCCCCCACTATTTGCAAGAGCCAGCCCCAAAGAGAATTTAAGCCGTGGCTGACACCAGCTATTTCTAGTTTTGGTCATCAATTGGTGCACGCATTTTTGCTTCTCTTGTTGTATGATGTCAAGTGATTGTGTACAAAGAGATCAACTTTTTGAATGCCGCATCGTGTAACGATGACACCGCAGCGTCCCTGCGCCAGTTATCTTGGTTATTAAGGGGAGGGGAATGAATTAAACAAATAAATACATGATATCAAGTGCGTTCAGTCGTTCCCCATTATTTACTTCTATTTCAGGGCCAATCACAATGTTAAATTGATGTCTTCCCGCCATCTCATACATTAGTTATGCATTAATTGCATAATTCTGCACATATGCTAATATGCTTTCTGACAATGGACGGATGGAATGTAATATGAATGAAAGAGATAACAAACAGAGAAAGAATGTTTGGGGTGAGAGGACGCAAGCCGAGGGGGTGGGTGACAGTGTCAGAAAGTGAAAGAGGCAAAGAAAGAGAAAGAAAAAAGCACGAAAGAAGAAAGAAAAGGGGACCGGCATAAATAGAGACGAATATGACGTCTCATGTGTATGTTCCTTATGTTCTGGAACAATAGCTATTTCCTTGGAATTGATTGTTGTCAAATGGACTGCATATTATACAACAGCTTGACAGCAAATCATGACAAGAGTAAAAATTTGATAAAAAATGATATCACCGGACCGACATACCAATATATGCAATAAGATAAAAGTCATAGAGAGCTCACCCTTTCCCCCCCTTTCATCTCTCCCCACCGTCGGTTCGTTATCACAATACGATTATTGTGCATATCTTCTTCTTATCTTTTAGTTCGCTCCACTCCGTTTTTACCCCGCTCTTTCTTTCATATATACGCCGTAATACATTTATTTGCTATGTGTGTGCATGCCTGCAAATCAAATTTACCCCATAGGGAATGCAATAGCGCCATTGTTGATATAGTTTAACAGAATATTCGGGGGAACAGAGACGAAAAAGTAAATAATATCACGACATTCAGAAACAGATAAACTGCATTCCATAAAGTTGGATTTTTAAATGGAAACAAACGAATGGGACAAACCAAATGGAAGGAAAAGAAATAAGACATATTGGTGAGAGTTGAAAGTGTGCTAATTAATTACGATGTATATTATATTACACTTTATTTTTTAAAATAACCCGAGTTTATACATGCGATAATTAAACAAAGTGGCGGCGGGCAACAAGCAAGCGGGCGACAAGGGCAACGAATAACAGTTAACAGCCCAGCCCAGCAGTAGCAGTAGCAGTGGCCGTAGCAGTAACAACAAGCAATAGCAACAAGCAGTAGCAGTAGCAGTGGCCGTAGCAGTAACAACAAGCAATAGCAACAAGCAGTAGCAGTAGCAGTAACAACAAGCAATAGCAACAATTATGGTAATAATAGTAATAACGGCAATAACGGTAATAACAACTAGCCCAGCCATCATCATTACGGCTAATTTGCTCATTTTACTATTCCGAACATACACTCACTCTCACGTATACCTGTTTATATTCGGGTATTCAGGTCAATCATTCGTCATAGATACCCCATATTCTTTTGATTTTGGGCAAATCAATGATCATATGAACAATCTACAAATCGCTAACGGTCGAATGGGCAATCTCTCATCGAATTTGGTCACTAGACGCACGGTACCGAAGAGAATGTTTAGGGGTTCATATTTAATATATATGTATTAAGAATTGGCTTATGCTCCACTTATCACATGGATATATATGGAGGACACACACACACATATATACAATATGGTTAGTATATTATAAACAACGATTGTACTTTGAGGGTTTATTATGCAATATATTAGACTAAGTATTACAAGTCATTAATTATTAATATATATTACATACCTATACTATCATGACCACAAATTATATTACATCACGCAATAACATAATTTAATCTTGTCTGCCGACTTTGGGCAAGGCAACCCATTATGAAGTTGTGCTGCTACGTACACATAACTTTAAACAAACATTGGCGCGTAGTTAATATATCGAACGGTTATTAGAATCGATCCTAATAATCGGAGACGTCAACTGTCTGCTTATAAATAGTCTGCGTTAGCCATGCGGTTACCCCATTCAAATATCTATTTTATCCTCGTTGTTGAGAACTTTCCGTTTCTTTGATTTCTTTTTATTTTCAGTCAACGTTCATTCTTTCAATAACTGACTAAGTTGCACAACAGTCGTTTTCTACAAGTGATTAAACTAGGTATCAATTATTATAAATTATATATACTGTTACAATACGGTATTAGTATATATTATTTTATATCACATATACAAAGTTAATCACATACTTGTCACATATTAAAGTATAGTATATTATATACTTTAAATTCCTATCCTCATCCTTTTCCCCCCACTCCTCCAACATTTCTACACATTCCTCTACTATCACCAGGAGTGACGTTATATCCCCCCTCTTTTCTTTTCTCCCTTTCCCCATATCGATATATTAATACCCTTTTAATTCTACACATTCCCTCTCATACGTCCCGTCCAATCCTTTCATACTCACATTCTTTATCATCCCCCTCCATTGAATATTGTCCTTGTGCACCAAACTTTATAATTATACACAAACCGAAAAAAAACAAAGCGGTTAACATCAGCAAATCATATCCAACTCGGAGGAACAAGTTGTTGTTGCTTATCAACTACCAAAAATTATATAAAGAGGCCGCCACTTCACCTCACCCCACCCTACATAGTCTGCGTAAATCCCACGAGCTCCCGTCGAAATATTACACATATAAATATAAACATAGAGCTGTTTTTTTAAATATCCCCTTATTTGGAGTTGATCGTTATAAACCAAATTATTAACGGGAGTGGTTCTTCATAATATTATATAATATCGTTATTATACATAGGCCGTTGATCGTAAGCCTACAAAAAAATAGAGTAAAAAAAAAAAAGGACGATATTCCTTTACACACTCCATCAAAAGATTAAAAAGACAGCTCATCCATTCCGCACTCCACTCCACTTTCCCCCCCTTTCCCCTCTTCTTCTTCAAACCACTCCCTTTCCCCCTTCTTTCTCTTCGTAAAAGCTTCACTTGCAACAACAAAAATGCCTTCGAAAATCATAACCCCCCTCTTAAATCATCAGATGGACCTAGTCGTGCAACTAAACGGACTATCTGTTAGGATACCGCATCGTTATCTAGAAGGGAGTCTAAAAAATCTCGGCCCCTGTCATTTCAATTCTTCGGGTTCCGCAACCTGCAAAATATCTTTTGTTGATCTGACGCAAGGCAATAGCAAAAGAAAAGGCGCAGAAAGAAAAACAAAAGACTCGACAATCTCATCACCGATCAATTCTCGCAAACGATCGTACAGCTCAATATCAACGGTTTCTCTTGACGCTTATGAATTCTGGGGTCATGAGCTGTTTCTCTCGGCAAGATCCCAATGGTTCCGGGATTTCTTTGCCAATCACTACGACCAACATGGAGTAGATGACCCGCGAGTTGACTATGTCGAGGATGAGAACGGAAGGTGGCTGAGAGTACTTGTAAATGTACATGAGCCGGGAAAGAGTCGCATCGATGAGCTTTTATATTGGGTGAGTAACAGCATGTCATGTCTGTCATCATTGACATCGTCTTGGTCATCATCATCATCATTCTCCCATCTTCTCTCTCTCCAATATGAACCATCGACTGACCTCGTTCTATTTAAATTGCTTTAGATTTACACGGGTAATGACGAACGCTGGCTTCGTGAGGCATTCACACCAAAAAACTATGCTCTGATCGCCGAAAATGTTCGTATTCTTGGGCTTGATGCAGAAGCGATGGCCGTCTGTGCTAGATATAAGGCATCGTTGGTATGCCCTAGATGTTTAATAACTAGAACGGAGAGTGAAAGTGGAAGCGAAGCAGACGATGGCAGGTGTGAAAGTGAGATTGGAGGAGAGACGGACAATAAACGTAGTATACAGAGCATCTGTGAGAACGCAAGTGAAAGGAGTGGTGATCACATGAGTGATATCAATGTCGATGATGTTGATATGAGCCATATTGAGGATGAAGAGGAAAGCGATATCAACTGAGGGGGCTAGTTACACATGCTTTCCTGAGATTAATCGAACGCTTGCATGATCCATGCAGAAGACTTTTAATCCCCCCCCCCCAAAAAAAATCTCCCAACAAAATCAAAATGTCTGATCCGACTTGTACAGTTTTTCATTTTCATTTTCATTTTCATTTTTTTTTTCAACACTTATGTTCTCCCCCAGAATTAAGTACCTCACCAATTAAGGTTAACTTGTTTCAAATACGCAAGTTCTTTTAGCTAAGTTTACGCTTTTTTTTTAAGACATGTATGCGAATACCAAAATTATGTAGTCAATTTGGGTGAACAATGTAAAATGTGAGTACAAAACATCCTCGCGTAGTATTATTTATGTATGAATAAACCCACATGGTTGTAAATTGAACTGTAAGACAAGGATTTGACACAAGGAAAATACAATGAATGACATTTCAGACGATGGTGAGAGGAAACGTCTTACTTTTGTTTGATAGATATGCTCCAAGACAAAGAAATTTCGCAAACTCTTTCTTAACGAGATTTTGTGTAATATTTCGGCCGAATTTCGGCCAATCCCGGGCAGCCGTTCCACTAGAAAGAATTGAAACTTTTACCCAAAAAAACTATCGGCTCAAGTCGTAGAGTGAGGGAGGAGGGGAAGGGGGGGAAAAGGGGAAGAGGGGGTTAGATGGGGAGAGAGAAGAGTTGGAATGAAGGGGTTGCAATGGGAGGAGAAAAGGGAGCGCTATTGTTGTATAAACTCTGACATTTCATTCTCCTGTCAGCTATAAAAGTAAAATACTATGTTATAGTTTGTAATTGATTGTGAAATCATCCTTTCTATTTTAGCTTTTTGCCTTGTCTAATCTAGCGGGTCTAACCGTTTGTTAGAGAAACGTGAACGAGTGTGGATGAATAATCGTTTTTATTAGTAGATTATGTCATAATCGGTTAATCAAACAATCCCAGATTCATGTCGATTGTACAAACAGAGTGAGTCTCGAGTTCCTTTGTACCAAAAAAGTAACGAGGTAATATAACATATGCAAACACATCCCCGCTTGTTTCTCAATGATTTGTTTACCAACGGATGCAAGTAATTTTCATATTGTGACGAGTTGTGATGTAGAAGCTGTCATTTTGCAGATTTCTTTTTATTTACTTAACGGGACAGGCACTTTGCGCAAGTATTGTGATGTCATTTATCGTTTGCAGGAATTAACCAAAGTAGGAAAATCTTATTGGGAGAGTTGGCCAAGTTTACAAATTCATGATTTACCTTTCATTTCGACACATACGTCGTGCTTTATTCATTAAACGCAGTCGAGCGATTCGCCCGTTCAAAGTATTTAATACCAAAATTTATCCTTAAACGTAAGACATAGGATATGTGAAGTGATATGCCGTATACTTGCCTTTTCTCAACCGGTTTATATTGTGATAAATGATAGTTACTGGTGACAGTGATAGTACCAGTGAGATGACGGGTGATAATTATAGTGCCAGGAGCATCACATGCTCCGATTATGCATTAAGACTAGATAAAATTTTAATTTGGCCCAATTAAGCCAATAAACCCTGTTTGGTATACGAACATTCTCAACATCAGAACGTCCAGGTGTCTGCTCCCTTTTGATGATGAATATCGTGCTAACGCCGAAAGCTTTAACAACACATCGATATATACTGCTACCACCATATCCCAGGTAATATAACATATATAATATGTATTGTGTATTGTATATTGTATATTGTGTATTGTACATTGTGTATTGTATAGTGTACATTGTGTATTGTATATTGTATATTGTATACATTGAATTGTGTTCCATTTCTCCATTTAATTTTGTTTACAATGCCGGCCATTGGCTGATCATCATACAAAGACAAAAGCCACTAAGCAAGCGATTCCTTGTTCGACCAAGACAATCCCCTGTCTAAATGACGAATAAATCTAGTCGATACAGACAATGATTAACATTAATTATTCCTTGTAGCATAAAAATAGAATAAGTGGAAATAATATACGGTGATACGACGTGAAATAGGTTAATGATTAACTAACATTAATTCTTATTCGTTTTGAATGCATATCACGTCGGAGTTACCAACCTGAGTCACACATTAATAGTGACAAATGAGATAAAAGAGAAGCAAAGGGGCTGTGAGAAAATAGAATTTTTGTATTAACAATGAAAAAAGATTGCGGAACACAGTTTTATTAATCGTTCAGTCGGGCTACGTGTTTATTATACAACTTCATAGAATTGCGTATTCAGGGGGGTTTACTGTATTTGCCAATCCCCGTCCGCCCTTTGGTCGAGAACACGCCAGAAGCAAGTTCACTTGTGCCACGGCTCGCAATCGCATAAACAGATGGCCCCGCCGAAGAAAAGATCTAGGTGACTCTATTGATTGACTCTTTGGAACAGTCACCGTAACAAAAAAAATAAAGAGGTTTGAATCCACACAAAGAACTTTTTTTTCCATGCATTGGGCAAAAGGAGTTGGGGAGAGAGAAAAGTTACGTTTACAACCTCAACAAGTAAAACATCCGAGCACACGTGTTTCGGTGGGAGAATAGTTTGATTAAGGTAGGAGATGTACTTATTTGAAAAAGGATGGCTATCTCGCATGTAACCTTGACTAGTTTACGCCAATTTGCTTGTTATTTTTAGCTATGAAAAATTTTGATTCTTTTTGTAGCACCGAAAATGTATTATAGAAGAATAAAGAAGCCGAGGAAAACTCGACGTAAATGCAAGCGCAAATGCAAATTATAGAACACAAGTATGCGATAACCCAGAAGAGAGAGACATGTTTAAAAAAAAAAGGTTTATTTATTTATTTATATTCTCTCCGCTTTGTATCAAAGCCGAGTTGTTGTGTTTCCCTTACCCTCTCATTGATCATAACTCGAAATAGTATTGACGTTTGTTCATCCAACTATGGAGACCCCGCTAAAGCTGGTGCGACTCGAGGATCGCACACAATATGAATTTGCCCCAAAAGAACTTGGCCAATACCGATAATCTCTTATACAGGAAATTATTCGGTTTTTTCTCATTCGATAGGTATTATTCTGTCTTACGATCCGAATACGCTTATGGCAATATCAATGTGTTGAGTGACATGTCGTGAAACGTACGCTATATGTGCAGTTGTTTAACCGGGAACTTAGCCAAGTATCATTCAGATGTTAAAGGAAATGTGAGTAAAGAAAAGGTTAAATTTCTTCTCAACTTTTGATTCTTGAAGCGCTAATTTTTACCCTTGTCGAATGCACGTATCAGTTATAACTATTTATTATTTCTTTTCTTAATGTCAACATTGACAATTTAGTGACTCGAGTAAATGTTACAATTCATGTTGACAGTACCTTGGTCGACCTTGTCCGTATTATTTATTATTGGCCAAGGACCTTCAATGTGGGGATTTCGATTAGTCACAAGTAAAAGTAAAAGTAAAAAAAAAAACAAAACAAAAACATTGTGACGGAGGATATCGGAAAAGAAATAATAAAATTGGGTTAGTTGAACGAGGTAACTTTGTCCTTCAGGAGCGAATTAGCCTAAAGTAATGTATGTTCGTTGTTTCCATGCGAGAGCCCAGACAATAATAATGCTGCATCTTTGAAAATAGGGTTAATAATCCGTAATGCTCGACATACTTTGTGCCAAGATTTAACTAGTAACACATCAAAGGTTAGAGTGATTGGCACACCTCAAGCTGAGTAACCTTGGTAGAGCATGATTTACAAGATAAGAGAGATTGAATAGTATTGCACTGACAAAAAGGTGTGCGGTGACCAATGAATCTGTGTTTATAGCAAGGCGGCTCCCTTTTCAATGATCCGTATTGAGAAAAGGTAATAGCAGTACTATTCACGAATGGTTTATCATCCGAGAGTTTGGGGAAGATTTTGGAAAACAGAAGTTTGGCAAAGAAGAAATTAACGAATTGCAGCAAATTATGACAAGCTGGTAGACGGACAGTTACCATACTAATAGATAAAGAAGGCAAGCATAAAAGTCATTGAAAATTATTAAAAGTTTATTTGACAATTAAAGAAAAGAAATGAGGGCGTATAATAATAAGCAAATTAACAGTAATAAATAGTAAAACCTGACAAAGATCAACAGGTATCATGACTTTAATAAGGAATTATAATTCAGGCGTACAACAAAGACGGAAACAAAAAAAACATAAAGAGAGCCAAACAAAAAAATACCATTGAGCCATTAGAAATTTAACGTTAATATTGGCAATCGATACAACTAAACATGAACGTAAACAGTAAACTGAGCTGGCGATAAAGTAAATGTCTGAAACCAATTGAAATGCTGGTGCGGGAATGTTTAAGAGAGAGAAGGGGGGAAAGGTCTGCAGAAAAAAGAAAACGAACCAGGAGGCGTTTGCCAATTTTGTATAAAAGAGACTTTATTTGAGCATATATTAATATGCACACTCGCACAAGCACATGCACGGGTTATTGTATAGCCAAGTGTATGCATATAATTATGATTCAATAAAATTGTGACAACCCTTATTATTTATCACGCGTAATCTCTTGTCTCTTCTGGTGATTTCAATTGCCGATAGTATGTCTTATCGCTTGTGCCTTTTTAGGTGACAGAATGAGACAAGTATGCATCTGATTGTCAACGACGCGTATGATAGACACAATCTGTATTCCCAAAATTTAGAGTTTACCTGACTGACTAAGCCATATTTTTTTTTTTGATCGCTTATCGGCAATCTATACTTGGACGTTTCTACACAACTTTAATCTTATTCTTGGGCTTTGATTACTTTAACATCATTTCTATACAATTATTTGTACCCTGCATATTTCATTCTATCATCACATTAATCTTATTATGTCTTATCACCCAGATTGCTATTTTTTTTCACCCACGCCACAACAACAATGGCACAAATCGTCAGTACGGTCGACAATTAAGAGCCCAATCATACCATATTTACGACAAAACCTGTTGAGTATTACGATACACTGTTTCATGTTCGGCATACTTATCACTGGGCTTTGTTAACACAAGAGGAGAATCATCCGACATTAGTGAGAAAAAAAAAAGGGTTTAAACACACACACATACACACACACATACACAATACACACACACATACACACATACACACACAACTACCCACACACCTGCAGACACACACATCCATACACCCACCTCCCTCTTTTTTTACACATCTACTTGGCACAAAGGCGGGAATATGAGGTATTCATAGTCATTTGAACCAATGGATAAGAATAAAAAGTAGGACATTTATAATTACGGAGGATCATCTTAGTTTATTAATAGATATTTTTACTCTCTTTACACAATGCTCAAACCGCTTAAACCCCGCCCCAACCACCAACATTGTTACAAAAACTTGTTTAGAAACAGGAATGCACACTCAAACTTTAAGTTATGGCGTAGATTTATGTAGCTGCAGACTCCCGAATACGTTGATTAGATTAGTACCGCATTTGGAACAGTAAAATGCAAAGATTGCTGATGGACGCTGCGATATCAGTCATATGGTTGTGTGTGTGTATCAGATGGATACGTTGTGACACATGCTATAATCTGACAGGGTATGCGATCACACCAAAAAGCAGGGGGTAAAAATATTTTTTATCAACGTTCACATGATAATAAGAAATTCCACAAGACTGAAAAATTTTATTAAACAAAAAAAACAACCGAAAATCATGGCCAAAAAATCATCAAGAAAGAAGCGAGACGCATTGTTGGCAAAGAAATCAAAGCGGCAGAATAAAAACGTTTCATTTACATTCAATGACTCGGCTGATGAACAGCAAGATGAGAGCAGAGATATCGAATCTGATGATGAAATGATAATTGATCGAACGAGTATCAAGATGAGTGAGGGCGAAAATGAAGATGAAGATCAAGATGAAGTGAATGAGAGTGGAAACGAAGACTTTGATGAGATTACGCAACTTGAAAGAGAGCTGATGAGAATCGAAGGAGAATTGCATGGACTGGACCCCGATTCTGAGGCAGATGAACATGATGGGGTTGAAAAACCGCCAAAGAAAAAGCGCAAATCAGGTATGCTCTTTATGTAAAAGTATATTCTACAGCGACATTTTACATTACGTAACTCACGGTCTCATCGTTTTTCTAATCTTTTATCTCTCATCCTTTACAACAAAATCAAAGATCAACAGAAACAGACCAAAACCGCGCCCAAAACCACATCCAAACCCGCATCTAAACCCGCATCTAAACCCACACCCAAAACCACACCCAAGACCGCATCCAAACCCGCATCCACTCAGATCTCTCATCGCCAAGCGCAATCACCCTTACTAGTGCAAATAAAAAAACTTTGGGAACAACTTCGCCAAAAGAACATCTCGCCGTCCACTCGCTCGTCTCTACTCTCTGATTTGCTTCAAATGATTATGGGTAAAATCGGAGATTTAGTTCTCAAGCATGATGCATCGAGGGTTGTTCAAACACTGTTGAAATTTGGGAGTAAAGAACAGAGAGGAGAGGTTGCAAAAGCATTAAAGGGAAAATATGTGGAATTAGCAAAGAGCACTTATGGAAAGTTTCTGGTCTGCAAGATTTTAAAGTATTGGTGGGTATAGAATTGTGAATGACCATAGAGGAGATTTGGGGCGTGCGTTGGAGAATACGAAATGACGGGAAACATCTTAACAATAGATCACTAATAGAGACCCGCAAAACGTCTTAGCAATAGATCACTAATAGAGACCCACTAAACCATCTTAGCAATAGATCACTAATAGGGACCCACAAACCATCTTAACAATAGATCACTAATAGGGACCCACTAAACCATCTTAGCAATAGATCACTAATAGGGACCCACAAACCATCTTAGCAATAGATCGTTCATTTTTTTCTAATTTCCATGCTCATGCTCTCTCTTTTTATCCCAACAGTCCCCAACACAGAGATGACATTATAAAAGAATACTACGGTCAGGTTCGCAAACTAATAAAACATAAAGAAGCTTCTGAAGTCATAGAAGAAGCATATAACGTGGGAAAGGCGACCCATCGATCGGGATTAATGCAGGAATTCTATGGGCCGGAATTCATTTTTTTCAAGGTTAGTTACGAAAGGCATTCGCGATAATTGAGTTTAAGCAATGACAATGCACTGAATAAATGAATACTAATGTCATTATCCCTATCTTCTGGGCACGTTTTATTCTAAATTACTTGCTTGCTTTTTTCCTTAACAGACGCCAACACCACAAACACTTTCGGAAATCCTCTCCGCCTCCCCGCATAAAAAAGACATTATTCTCAAAAATCTCGCCCAATCTATATCCAGCGTATTAGACAAGGGAACTATCAAGCATAGCATTACTCACCGTGCGTTGTTGGATTATTTCACCAACGCTGATGAAAGGCTACTCGCTGATATGATTGCTATGGTCAGCGAGCGGGTACCAGAAATATTGCATACTCGAGAAGGATCAAAGGTCGCTATGTTGTGCGTCGCACGCGGAACTTCAAAGGTATGAAATAATTTATGGGTAATAACGATAATCGGCTGAAACATGCATGTTAACTTTTGTTGCTAATATTCAGAATCGAAAAGTCATAATAAAAAGCATGAAGACATATATCAATAAGATATGCTGCGATGAACACGGACATTTGGTTCTGTTGACAGTCTTTGACGTTGTCGATGATACAACGCTAGTAGAAAATGCAATTATAAAAGTAAGAACCATAACGCTGTCATGTTGATTGTATGTTCAATTTATCTAACGAGTGCTATTGATTCAATAATTAGGAAATTGGAAAGAATCTCCAACAGATTATAGAAGATAAATACGGTCATAGAGTAATTCTTTATTTACTAGTTGGGCGATCTCAAATGATATTGAGCAAAGGAAATATTGACTTGTTGTCGTCAATGGATGAAATACGAGCCAAGACAAGGTAAGCACCTTACATTGATGATAACACGCTCTCTCACATTCTATTCAAAATACTCACGTATCTCCTTGTGCAACTCACACTGAAAACACTCCAAAAGCAAAAAATCACCCCAGGTTCGCAGCCAAGAACTTTTAAAGGCGATATCCTCACACTTGATTCCTTATTGTGAATCGAATACATCGAGCCTACTTTCACATCATTTTGGCGCACAAGTACTCTGTGAGACAATGCTCCATGCCCAGGGTGACAAAACACAAACTCTTGTCAATATTGCCACTCTTGCTCGCGGCTCCCCTCGCACAAACCCAGACCACATAATGCTATCAATGGTCAATCGTACATTAAAAACGCTCGTGCAAGGTGGACACTATAGAGGTTTAAAAAAAGACAAGTCCTCTGATAAAGTAGATCTACACTTTGGAAAAATGTTGATGGATGCAATACGTGAACATTTGACAACATATGCAAAAGGCGCAACGAGTTCTTTCGTTATATTAGCCCTCTTGCACGATGAGGATGTTGGTGAAGAGGTTAAGCGGACTATAATTGAAAACGCAGAGGACTTGAGAAATCATGCAGGCGAACTTGGAGTCAAATTATTGTTGGAAGAGGCCGGGACCGAGGTGGCAAAGCCGCAAAAGAATGACAAAAAAGTCAGAGCAAATAAAACAAAATCAAGTGGTGTTGTTACTAGAAGCAAGAGGAGAAACATGGAAAATAGGTGAAGTGACCGAGTGAAAAAATCAAGAGGACTGGAAAGCTGTCATGTGAATACGTGTAATATTAATGTTAATAAAGGCTTGACAATGTCATTTATTATAATGTACTATTACTATCAGTCGAACGATGATTCATTTTGATTGCATCTAATTCATTAATGAACATGTCGTTAATCATATGTGCAGTGGTGAAGGATAATGCTAAAGTATGCGTGCATGTGTAATTGACATGCGGTACCATTGTCATGTCGTTAGCGGTCAACAAATCGCAAGGCGGCTACTATTACAGTTGACTGAAAAGGAACTTTTGATCAACAGAAGGCAAACGCGGTTGGGATTATAAAATCTCTTGACGGGATTAAAAGGGATGACGAGAGATTATGCGTTTACATACGCGTTGGGTTTACATACTGGATTGATTCAATGAAAGCGATGTGGAAATGACCCGATTATGTCGTATTTATTGAAAAGACACACCAGAGGAATACTTTGTCTAACTGACAAGGAGATATATGTATATATGTGTATACTATATAAAAGAAAAAGAGGATGTAACAATTTCTCAAGCGAGAAACTACTTCGACTTGGATAATTTAAATTAGGTAATTCCTTGCAATTTATTCCGAATAAAATCCGCTTGTCTACTTTTTCCCCTTCCCAATTTGTTTGTAGACCGCAAAATGACATCCTCATATATAACAAGTTTCACATTCTGGTTTCGTGGTCAACTTTCTCAAACAAAACCTCCCATCCATCCCCCATCCTAACATTCCGAAAGGATAAGATAAATAGTGCAAACATTCTTTAAATAACTTCTAAGACATAGATTTTCTCATTGTTTATTATCTTCAGCCATTGTGTTATCTTCAGCCATTGTGTTATCTTCAGCCATTTGATTATCTCCTTCCGCGTCGTTCCCCTCTTTAACCTTGCCATCCTCTGCCATTTTGTTACCGTCTTCAGTTGCCTCGTGAACAAGATGGCTCTCTTTAACAGGTGATGAACTATGACTCTGAGCAGACATTGCATTGGCGTGAGGAACCGTTTCTGGGGAAGGATGCTGCGAACCAACCGGTCCTTGAGCTTTTCCGGCTTTCGTTAGGGCATAGTCACCGGAATCAAAGTATTTACGTTCCTAAATTGAATGAAATAATTAGTATCGTTGAAAATTCTCACATTAACACAGTTTCCTCAAGCGGATCTACTGAATGTACCTTCAATCTGTGACTCAGAACCGTCTTTTGTGCTGGTAGTCTACCATAAAGGCGGAATAACTTTTGTTCCTCTGGGGACAACAACTACAAGTTCAAACATAGACAGTGAGCGATATACGCTACGAGAGCAATCTCCTCAAAAAGTTGACAATTGATATACTTACGGTAAGGTCAATCTTCTTCTTTTGTGCGGGTATCATAGCGCTTATTTATTTGAAAAAAAAAAATAGACGGGCGAGAAAAGAAAAGACGTGTAGCGAGACACCACTTTAAAAACACCAGGTTTTGAAAGTCAGTACGTGGGAATGAGTTATTTACTATATCTACTTTATACTGGAGGGTTAATGGGCTGATCGAGTACCCTGATTTTCGCCCAATCACCGGGACCGTTAGACAACGAGGAAAAATTTTTTTGTTACCTGCGAGTGACCTGATCAGCAACCCAGGATACAATGGTCAAAAAAGTAATAGACTCTCGCATTCACACTCTCGTCAAGAACGGGGTTCAGAACAAGCATCGAACATTCTTTGTTATCGTGGGTGATAGGGGCAGGGATCAGGTGTTGTACTGTGACTGTCTCTACTCTGCCGTTACATACTCTGTCACATACTAACCTAATACTAAGTAATGAATTAACTCTGGTGGCATTAGATAGTGAACTTACATTGGTTGCTTTCTCAAGCAAAGGTTGCAGCCCGACCTTCAGTATTATGGTGTTATAAGAAGGAGCTAGGTTTTAGTAGGCAAGTCATGCGTTTGATCTCGTTCGCCAGCCCTGATCCACTTTGTGATTCTAATTCGAACGTTCGAATATTAGTCACCGCAAGAAACGTGAGGCTAAAATTCGAAGAGAAGTCAAGCGTGGAATTCGTGAGGCAAATGAAGAAGATCCGTTTGAACTTTTTATAACAGTCACGAATATTCGATATACGTACTACAAGGAGACTGACAAGATCCTTGGTAACACGTACGGAATGTGCGTGCTTCAGGTAAAAGCTTTGCTTGATGCCAAGTTTAAATTTGACAGTATCGAGATTCATAATCTACTGTTTCGTCCATTTAGGATTTTGAAGCCTTGACACCAAACTTGCTAGCTCGTACTATTGAGACAGTGGAGGGCGGCGGGATTGTAGTTTTATTGCTAAAAACGATGAAATCATTAAAGCAATTGTACACATTGACAATGGTGAGAATTTTGAACAAATATGGGCACAAATTAGTCCAAGTTTATAATAACCGTTTCTACGCTCCCAACTCTATTGCAAGGACGTTCATTCCCGATACCGCACCGAATCACACAACGATGTCATTGCTCGATTCAACGAACGCTTTATTTTGTCAGTGGGAGCTTGCGAGAACTGTCTAGTGGTTGACGATGAATTAAACGTACTACCAATATCAGCTGGCAAGAATGTCAAGCCTCTTCCTCCAAAACCGCCAGAAGAAAACCTGACGGAGTCTCAAATCGAACTTCGAGATCTCAAGGCTTCTCTCGCTGATACACAACCTGCTGGAGCTCTGGTTGGAACAGCTCGTACTCTCGATCAAGCGAGAGCGATTCTAACGTTCATTGAGGCCATATCTGAGAAAACTCTTCGTACGACTGTGAGTCTAACTGCTGCGCGTGGACGTGGCAAATCGGCAGGGTTGGGCGTTGCCATCGCGTCCGCCGTGGCATTTGGGTATTCAAACATCTTTGTGACTTCTCCAAGTCCTGAAAATCTAAAAACATTGTTCGAGTTTGTGTTCAAAGGGTTTGATGCTTTAAAATATGAGGAGCATTTAGATTATGATATTGTACAGTCTACAAACCCAGACTTTAATAAAGCAATTGTGAGAGTGAATATTTTTAGACAGCATAGACAGACTATTCAAGTGAGTTTTTTTTTTATTTTTGGGATTATGTTAATGTTTGGGGAAACGCTGGCCTTTCTGTGACTAAGCTCTTTGCGCCTATTTTTTTTTTTTTTTGAATTGTCGTCCTTAGTATATTCGACCACAAGACGCGCACATGCTTAGTCAAGCGGAACTGGTTGTTATCGACGAAGCTGCTGCCATTCCTTTACCACTTGTGAAGAATTTATTGGGTCCATATCTCGTCTTTCTGGCATCGACTATTAATGGGTATGAAGGTACCGGACGATCGCTCTCTCTCAAGTTGATACAAAATTTACGCGAACAATCGCGAGGATTTGTTGGAAAAGAAGGCGGAGCCAAGAACCTAGACGATGTCATAGTTGTCAATCGCAGCGGGAAAGGAAAGAATACTTCGTCTACGACTTTGAACGGCGTCACTACGGGTGGACGAATACTCCGCGAAATCAAGCTGGATGAACCCATTCGTTATGGTGTCAACGATCCGGTTGAGAAATGGCTAAACAAATTATTGTGTCTGGATGCAAACATTATATCAAAAAACATTGAAGGATGTCCACATCCTGATCAGTGCGAACTATATTATGTCAACCGCGACACGTTATTCTCTTTTCACCCCGTTTCCGAGACGTTTTTGCAGCGAATGGTAGCATTGTACGTGGCAAGTCATTATAAAAACTCTCCAAACGATCTGCAGCTGATGTCGGACGCGCCAGCGCATCATTTGTTTGTGTTACTGCCGCCTATACGTGATGGAGATAATTCATTGCCCGACCCTCTCTGCGTCGTTCAGGTATGAAAAACTTTCATTCGCGACAAATCTACTTTAAGATATGAAAAAGAGTTGACGTTTATTATTTCGCTCTAGGTTTGTCTAGAAGGTGAGATTTCAAAGGAAGTGGTCCTTAAAAGTTTAAGTCGAGGTCAGCGCGCGAGCGGAGATCTTATACCATGGATTATATCCCAGCAGGTATTGGGGCAGAATTGCTTTTAGTGTAGCAATGTGGATCGTCTGCCTACTCATGAAAAATTTGTTTTAGTACCAAGATGATGATTTCGCTAATCTATCCGGAGCACGAATAGTAAGAATTGCAACTCATCCTGATTATATCAAGGTAAATAGTATCAATAGTTTTCTCGCACACGCAAGTTGGACTGTATTTGCTGAATGGTTATATCAAACTGTGGGATATACTCACGTCATGTCTTGTGACATTTCAACTCTAGATGGGATATGGATCACGATGTTTGGAGTTATTATGTGCATTCTATCAAGGTGAATTTGCTGCTTTGAATGAGAATGACGAATACGTGGATGAAAGTATTGTTCGAGTAAACGATAATGAACTAGAGGTATGATATTAAAAGCTACATGCCCGCTTCTTACAAGTGAACAACTTACTAACGTATCTGTTCATGATCAAAGAATGCAGACCTGCGCTCGGACGAAATTAAAATCAGAGATCCTCAAAAGATGCCACCCCTTCTTCTCAAGCTCTCAGAAAAGCGACCTGATAGACTACACTACATTGGCGTCTCATATGGCCTAACTCCCGCATTGCACAAATTCTGGAAACGTGCCGGCTTTGTTCCGCTTTATCTTCGCCAGACTCCTAATGATCTTACAGGAGAACACACTTGCGTCATGTTAAAGGCCTTGAAGTCGGATGATTTGGTCACATCTTGCGATCCCAATTGGCTTTCAGCATTTGCGAGAGACTTTCACAGGCGAATCTTGAATTTACTTTCATATCAATTCAGTGCCTACCCCACAGTTCTTGCACTTAGTATAATGGAGGCTACCAGCAAAATGATAAGAGATAGTGATCGATCGAGAGGCATGTACCCTTTAAACGCGTTATTCTTTGTATTTTCATCTATACTCTCGCTAATTGGTGGTTCGCTCATAGTCTTAACCAAGAACGATCTGGACAACCTATATTCATCATACGACCTGAAACGCCTTGATCGTTATGCGAAGAATTTATTAGACTATCATGTGATTATCGACTTGATTCCGAATATTGCGTTCCTGTACTTTGAAGGACGTTTTGGTGAAAGCGTAAAACTATCTGGCATACAGAGCTCTCTACTTGCGGGAATTGGACTGCAAAAGAAGACGATTGACAAATTAGAGGTGAGATGATTTATGACTTTAGCTACAATTGATTACAGCAGACCTGATTCTTTCTACCTTTGTGTACATACAGGAGGAACTTGCATTGCCTGCCAGCCAGCTGTTGGCCCTGTTCACGAAAATGATCAGAAAGGTTTCGACATTCTTTACTGACACAGAAAAGGCTGCAGTTGAGGCCGATATTCCCCGCGAACAGACAAAGGTAAAAAAAAAAGTTGCGCTGCCAACGGAACCAAACTCGACGCCTAAAATTATAAATTACAGTGACGATTGGGAGCCATATGGACAGTCTCTGGAGGATGACCTTGAGGAAGCTGGAAACGAGGCCATGAGCGAAGTACGTGCAAAACAAAGAGAACTCTTAAATTCGTTAGACTTGTCAAAGTAAGAGGCACTGGGAATGTTTTTGCTCCTTTCGCATCATATTCGACAATCGTTTACAAAATTTCCTAAATAATATATAGATACGCAATTGACGAGTCAGTTGAAGGGTGGGAATCGGCAGAGATGCAGATTGCTGCAGCTTCATCAGGAAAGAAATCAAACTCTTCGACTGTAGTTAGCATAAAGAGTAAAGATTCAGCAAAGAAGCGAAAGGCGAACGAAACAGCCGCCGACATAGTCGCGAGGGAGACCAAAGTTGCTGGTAAAAACAGTCAGAAAAAAGCTAAAAAGAAGCACAAAAAGGCATGAACAGTAAACTGTACATATCAACACATCAGGACGAATTATGGAAATGTTCCAAATGCAAAAAGCCCATATTATTCTAATTTATATTAAAAGCGTGATTTTGGGCAAACATTCACATGAAAGCCGCTGGAATTCCCAAGATAACAATTGAGTACGAAGTGAATCAATAATCGGAAAAGGCGAAAAGCATGTTGATTTGTCTTGCAAGCATTTTGCTGCATACACCCAATTGCTTCAAAAACTCTCATTCTGTTGCTTGTTCCTAAAATTTCCGGCTGAAATCGTATTAAAATTTTCCCAAATTTGAAACGCTTGCGTAGTGAAATTAGTATAAATTTATCGTTAAAGGAACGGCTAAAGGATTATTAGTTAATGTCTTTGCTGTATGCGTTTCATTCGAGTTATTATTGAGAAACCTCGCACTTGTATTTGACGGACGAGCATACTACGTGTTTGCTAACGCTTTCTTTAATATTTTTAATGCCAAAGACATTGAACACAGAACATGATCATGGGATGTTTCTCTCTTTATAGTTCCTAATCAATCTCATAACTATTAACAGCAATAGCACGATGTAATCCGTTATTTTCACTCAAATTGAATTCTCTCGTTCCTAATTAAGTTACCTTTGGCTTTTACAAAATTTTATATTACAGTCGCATGGTAAAATAGATTGTCTATGATTTCCACATATTATATCGCAATAATTGTCCTGATATTGATATGAAAGGTACGATAAAGAAGTCAAAGACGACTAGCGCCTTGAATATTCCAATTCACATTGGAGTAATAATTAATATACGTTGCCTTCTCATGTCTTTCCTTGCAATTAATTCCAATGCCTATGCCTGATCAATTGAATGGTTATGTAACTTGGTTGTACTATTTCTATGCAATAAGAAATAAGTTAAAGTTTGAATGAGATATCTAAATAATGCATGCAAGCTTGAAAGTGAATTCAACTCGATTAATGTGAATGCTTGAAGCTAATACACCGTGTTTAGCTGACGATAAATGAGTTATTAATTATAATGACATGTTAGTTTCACCGAGCGAATGGCAATAATCCTTTATTCACACCCCCAAGAATTCAAAGGTCGATATTTACCCAAGTCGGGTTGTTTCTCCATTGGACACAACATCAAAGTTCAGGTCAGGTGGCATCTTCAATGCAGCGATTACCTCGGCCATCGGATCGGCAGTCTGTGGATGTGCTGGTCGCTGCCGTTGTGACGAAGAGTTATCTTTATCCGATAACGTGGGTTTCCTCTGCATCACCAAATGAAGATCGGTGTTATATATGTTATTAACAATTTCAATATAAGGTAGACAGTCATAAATAATGACGATATTAAAAACGAAAGCGAAAAAATAAGTAATATATGTTATTTTTAATATGGCGTTTGTTAATACATACCTTCACTTTGAAGTTAGTACCGTCAACTTGAGAGTCACTTGAAGACTCTGGTTTAGATTCGTCGTTCTTCTGGTCCGTTTGTTCTTCTAACCGAAGAGCAGCAGCAACTTCCGCCATTTGCGTTTTAATCTTTTCCGGCTGCAAAGTGGCAATAACTTATTAACAAAAAGCAGATAAAGCCTCAATTGATGCTTGAGTGAGTTCACACTTACGTCAACTTTCCCGCTACGCATTTCAGTAATTCCAATATGCCCAGTATGCTGTCAAGCATAAATACATCATGTAAACATCAGCCAACATACATTTAAACTTTAATACATGCATACATTCTCTTTGCTTCATCATCCCCCCTCTCCCTTTACCTGGAAATTTGATGGTAAACCGATTATTCCCTTATGAATCTTCTTCCTCCCTTTCCTGACAACTCTAGCATTGGCGGCAGGAGAACGAATTTGACTTGATACTCCGTTATGGAAACTGTTGTTCTGTTTCTGCTTTGCCGAACGTCGAGCAGGGCTTTGCTCTTTTACTGCCGAGATACAGCTTCCCATTATCAAATATTAAACAAATGTATGGAATATGAGGAAAATAAGAAAGGAATAAGATACGAGAGCATGGAATGTCAAGCTGTATATTCCCCTTTCAACTGTTACATTTATCATGTGATTCATTTTCTACCAGCGAGGAAATCAAGGGAGACAACGAACGGCCGATCCAACCTTCTGTAATTCGATGAAGGATAATTAAATGATCGTCTGTGTTCCAATTTAAAATTACATATATAGTATCCCGTGATATGGATACAACATACGAAGTTCAACGCCCAAATGCAAGCAAGAATAATCGACATAATTGGAGCAATCAATAAAAGGATCTTCTGCGCCAATCAAAATATTTATGATTTTTAATGAACATAATCGAAAATCGCTATAACGAAAGCCTGCCTGGTATTTTATCATAGCGCACGCATTTTAACAGATTATGTAGGGGCGTACTCATAAAAACCAACTTTGGCATGATGTCCGATCTGATGTATCTCGGAGATGGACATTTCCTATATCGTTAGGCAGAAAAAGAAAGGGGGGAGAGGAATGAGTGGGCTGGGAGGATAGGACAAAAACTTTTCTGCATAATTAAGATATTGTCTAAACGCATTTAGCATTGGCGTTCTAATCATTTTCGTTTAGCATTCTTATCGTGTCTGCTCGTTTGAATAGTGGAAAATAAAAACAACCAATTGCCCTTCACTCGATTAAGTTATACAGTTTCGAAATCTGTAGGGTCGCATCACATGCTGACCAAAATAGAAACCTACCACATACAGTGGTCCGTGATTTTTGCCGATCATTAGTAAAAACAGATGAAACCCCATCTTATTCTTTTTGACATCGCAAGGGTTTTAGCAGTACCATCAGGGACAAGGCATTTGGTTGAAAGACACAAAGAAAGATAGTGCTATGATAGTTGAACAGCTCCGAAGAATTTAACTAATCTTTAGAATGGATCCATTGGATTTGGTATTACCTTGAGGGTAAAAGTTATGCTTCGCTGTCAAATACATAAAGATACTTAATGTCTCTTGCTTTTCATGAAGAGTATCTCTTCCACGATGAAAACGCCAGCTCATAAGGCAAGAGTGGTAAAGGAGTGGAATGGGGTTAATATGTGAATGCTTTACTTAAAGTCTTGACCCCAACACCCAATGAGAATCTGTGTGATGTGCTATCTATAAAGGGTTAAAGCACACAAACCAACATAGGAGCCGAGCGATATATGGGGCAGACTGCAACAAAACCAGACAAAGTGAACATTCTATAAATGAGGGGCTGATTATGATGTGACTGTAAAATTGATCAGTATGACTGATGACGTTTGAAAAGTAATAATGGTGCTCATAGACTTGTTATTTTAATGCTCCCTTTATCATACCAGAAGGTGAGGAATATAAACCATAACAGGAGCAATATAGGATTATCTCTATATTAATATATAAAAATATTAATATGAAACTAATTTATATCAAATCCACTATGGAACCCAAGAATTACAGCATTATTAGAAGCATTCTAAAAAAGGAACAAGGAGAGAAAATTGCTCCCTATGTTTTTAAAATCAATAATACCCAAACTCTCCAAGCATATCTAGATCAAGAAAAAATCACCTATGAAATTTATCAAGAAGAACGAAAAATAATA